AATTTTAGCTAGTGTCTTGCTTATTTTAGCTGTTTCCCTGCTATTTTTAGCTAGTGTTTTGCTTCTTTTAGCTAGTGTCTTTCTTCTTTTAGCTAGTTTCCTGCTTCTTTTAGCTATTTCCCTGCTAGTTTTAGCTAGTGTCTTGCTTCTTTTAGCTAGTGTCTTGCTTCTTTTAGCTAGTGTTCTGCTTCTGTTTGCTAGTGTTCTGCTTCTTTTAGCTATTTCCCTGCTAGTTTTAGCTAGTATCTTGCTTCTTTTAGCTATTTCCCTGCTAATTTTAGCTAGTGTCTTGCTAATTTTAGCTGTTTCCCTGCTAATTTTAGCTAGTGTCTTGCTTCTTTTTGCTAGTGTTCTGCTTCTTTTAGCTAGTGTCTTGCTTCTTTTATCTATTTCCCTGCTAGTTTTAGCTAGGGTAAAGCTACAAATATTTCTTTTTCTTTAATGATTCAGTTTCAGGTTCATAAATAAATTTCAGTCATCAGGGTCTCAGGATTCAGTTTTTAGCCTTAAATTTGAGATCTTCAGCTGGAATGTTTATCATCTGTTGTTTGATGTCTCCACAGCTCACATGTGATGGAGGTGAGCCACAGTCCGGATCAGGACCGGGTAGCAGTGAAACCTCCCAAAGCACAGCCCAGCATGAGGCCTGGAGCCGAGTGGCAGAGAACTCCATCTCCCAGAGTTCATAGCAACACACTGCCGTCCAATGTCCTTGGAAATGGGAGCGTTGGTAGAAGTTGTCCTCCTGAGCCCTACTTCAGTCAGCTGGACTTCCTGCAGCAAGTTTGCATGAGCAGAGACCTCCACGAGGAGGAGCAGAAACTGCCCGAGCCGAGGACAGAATCCGAACCTACTCTGAGCCCGAGCCCGGCGCAGAGCCTGGAGGCCGACCCGGAGCTGCCCTTAGAGACAGATATCGACGACTTCCAGGAGGAGGAGCTCCTGGGGGAGGAMACGCCCCTCACCAGCGAGCTCCCGTGCTTCGCTCAGCCCATCACGGTCCTGGAGACGGACATGGACCTGGTGCCGGACCCGGAGGCATCGCCGCCCGGAGAAGCTCCAGCAGAGAGCAGCTCTGCGGACGAGCTGGAGACGGAGGAGAGCTGGAGGGGAACCTCTCAACCTGTGGAGTCCAACACCAACAGCCTGGATCGGTACAGAGTCCAGTGTCCGTTTCATACCTTCATCTTCATCTTCCTCTCTCTAAAGCGTCCTGATGTTTCCCTCCTCAGGCTGTCCACTGCCAGCTCCAGCTGTTCCTCTTATTACCACACATCTGCAGCCAAGGCTCAGCTCCTGTCGCAGATGAAGGACGTCCCTCAGGGCAGGGAGAGGGACGAGGACGACGAGCTGGCCTACAAGGTACAAACAAAAGTGTGTGTGTGTGTGTGTGTGTGTGTGTGTGTGTGTGTGTGTGTGTGTGTGTGTG